CTTCCTTCCTTCCTTCCTTCCTTCCTTCCTTCCTTCCTTCCTTCCTTCCTTCCTTCCTCTCTTTATTGCTACTTATCCTCAGTTTCCTAACTTGGAAAGTTGTACTTACCATTTATTTTCTAAGACAGTCTTTTCATTTTTGCATTTCTGAGTGAGAAACTATAGAGCAAACCTAAATTCATTAACATGAAGCCCCATGGGCTGTTTACAAGATGACTTGTAAACACATAGATAAGCTTTTGCTAGTCTTGGACTTTTCTGTTTATTGTTCAAGCCATGAGATGAAGACCCTACCATCATGTTTTCCACTGGGGAGAAAAAAAGTAAATACTTATACATAATCAGTGCAAAATTTTTTATTTGCCTTTCTGAGACCAAATGAATACCTGTTTTCAGTTTGTTCATTTTGAGTTTTGTTTCTTTGGGCGGGGCGGGGGGGAGAGTTTCTTTTAAAATGATTTTTGTCTGACACTATGTTGTAATCATTCCTAAACCAATCCAGTTTCAGGGTCTGGGTGTTAAAATAGGGTCCATAGCTGGCTGATTGAAAAGACTGCTTGATGATTTCTTTGCACAGTTGTTTGCTCAGAGAAAAATGTATTTCTCGTTCTTTGTTTTCAAGGAGAAAGTAGTCTGCCGCACCTGTGGTACAGGGAATCCAGCTCACCTGAAATACTGTGTCACTTGTGAGGGGGCCCTGCCTTCATTTCAAGAGGTAGGTTGACAGCATGGACTAGGCGTCTATTTGGTGGCTGCTAAATGTCCAGTTTCAATAATAATGAAGAAATATAATCTGCAGGGGAGGGAAGAAGTAGGAGGTTGGAGAGACACACTGAAGGCAATATTTCTAAATGTGGAGAGGACTTTATATATTCACCAATACAAAATAGTTTTCAAAGTCTTAACTCAAGGGGGATTCAATAAAATCAGCAATTTCTAACAATTTCATTTAATAACTTTGCACAGAAGGCTGGTGGCAGCCAGCAGAGAAGTAGACCCACTTGTATTTCATTCACGGTCAGGTATGTCTTTACTGACTGGGCCATGCTGTTGTTTGAAATTGAGAACATGGTGGGTACCCACTTCTGGATTTTCTGCCAGCCTATTTGGAGTATTTAAAGTGAAGGAATAGGAGTACGTGCAACTGAAATTGACGTTATTACCTGTCAGGGATGTAGTTGTCTCTGGGTCTCACTTATCAGCAAAACCGTTTCAGGAAAAATTACAAAATTGAATTTGTTTTCAGGATTTGATTTCTCTTTGAATGGTGTATCAGAGTTTGGATGTCGCAATGAGAGTATATATCACCGAAGTGCCATAGAAGTAACAATGTGTACTCAGTCTGATAGCTTATGTCTTTTCTTTGTTTAGCAGCATTAATATGAATGGAATAAAATACCTTTTCTTTCTTTAAAGCAATGTTATGTTTAAAAAAATCGACTTGAACAGTAGATGCATTTATTTTTCTAAAAGATTTTATGTATTTATTTATTTGAGAGAGAGAGAGAGAGAGGGCATAAACAGGGGGAGGAGCAGAGGGGGAGGGAGAGGGAAGGAGGAAAGAATCTCAAGAATACTCCGCTTTGAGCGCAGAGCAGAGCCGGATGCAGGCTCAATCTCACAACCCTGAGATTATGACCTCAGCCAAAATCAAGAGTTGGATGCTTAACCAACCAACTGAGCCACTCAGGCACCCTGAACAGTAGATGCATTTTTTAAAAAAGATTTTATTTATTTGACAGAGAGAGACACAGCGAGTGAGGGAACACAAGCAGGGGGAGTGGGAGAGGGAGAAGCAGGCTCCCTGCTGAGCAGAGAGCCCGACAGGGGGCTGGATCCCAGGACCCTGAGATCATGATCTGAGCCGAAGGCAGATGCTTAACGACTGAGCCACCCAGGTGCCCCAACAGTAGATGCATTTAAATAAAAGATCTGAAGTCTTTATATTTAGAAACCCAAGTCAGCAAATTTTATATCAAAACCCTGTTGTAGCAGGAGGATACATTTGAAATTTAAGTCTGAAGCAAAAGTGTGGAAAGCATTTCTCTCTTGATTTGTCCCAAGGAGTCTCTCACTAATTGCACAGAAATGGGGTAAGGGTAAGCCTATACAAACAGAGATCTTCGTTCTATCTTTCTGGATAGATATCTGTTTTAGGATAACAAAACAGTCCCTGAAGTAAAACAGGATATAGCTAGGCAAATAAAGTTGACTAAAATATCAATCTTGGATGAAAAATGGTCCTTAGAAAACATCTTCCCTAGTGTGTACATTCTTAGTGTTGTGCGTGAGATATGTGTTGTTATCAATTGTATCAGTTATTCATTGATTCATTCATTCAGTAACCATTTGCATAACTCTGATGTGCCAAGGTTCAAGGTACTGTGTCAGTGGGGGAAAAATGTGAAGTATAGTCCTTTCTCTTAAAGAAATCAGGATCTAGTGGAAAGCAAGAGCAAGGAGGGAAGCTGACATGTGGAGCCTGACCCTATGGTAAGCATCCCTCCATGTTTAATTGCCGTGAGCCATCTGAACCCTGCCTACAGACCTGTGAAGAGACTCTTATATTGGAGAGGCTGCATGGAGCCGTAGATAAAGGGCAGGCTTTAGAATCAGATGACCTGGGGTCAAATCTTGAGTCTTGCCTTCTCCATGCCTCGGTTTCCAACCTCTGTAAAACACGATGGCACCCACCTCACAGGTCTGTCCTGTGGTTTGATGCGAGGTTAGCAGGACAGTGCTCAGCACTATGTGCCTGCACATAGTAGGTGATCACATAGCAGTGACGAATACTCTCATCCTCATTTGTTCGATGAGAAAATCTCTTCCTAGGCAATAAGGAAGTAGCAGGAATCCAGGCCTACCTCACAAAGTTTCAGAAATTCTCACGAAACAATTCTCTCTCTCTCTCCCTAAAATAAAATAATTCTTTTCATGTGTCAGGGGTGGAAAATAAATTCACATTTCCAGATGGAAACCAGAGCCCTAAAGGAAAGAAGATAAACCTCAGTTGTGACAGTCTGCTTACATTCTTTCTTTATAAATATCGTTATGGTAAATCAATGGTAGGCTTGCTACGTTTGGTATTAAAGATACTGAGGAATATCAAGATGCATGAGGCACCAGTTTCATCAACTTGCGGAATGTGTCTTCTTTGTACGAATTTATTAATTGGTGAAGTTCATCGTAGTTTTACTCTTTGGGGCAAAAATACCTTATTCCAGGGTTTGCAATGATTTGGAGCTTTTTTCCCCTGGATTCAGAGGGAGATTGCAGAATATAGTATTAATCTGCCTATTGATAAAAGCCATTGTGTTTCCCAGCCCATGCGCAGTGGAGATAAAGCCCCTCCTCTGCCCACTCAGAAAGGGGAGACCATTTCCTTCTCCAAGTGTGGTCGCAGGAACCGCCGGGAAGCTTGCTTCTGTGACTGGTGTGGATCCACGGTGGGTATTTTAAATCTGAGCTTCTTGGCGCCGAGGCCTCACCACCACCCTAGAGATGGACAGTTCCTCCTCTTCCCCTGCCTTGCAGAAATCACTTCTTCGGATTTGAGTACTAGCACCTATTTACCTAAGAATCTGGGGACAGAGATAATGGATTCTGTTAAATTGAGAAAGCTCTGTTATTGCTGTTTTGCTTTGCATTTCTTTGAGGTTAAACTTTTTCAATCATTTATTGACTCTTGGTATTTCTTCTTTTAGGAATTGTCTTCTTATCTTTAGAGAGAGAGAGAGAGAGAGAAAGAGCACACCAGTGGGGGAGGGGCAGAGGGAGAGAGAGAGAATCCTCAAGCCGATTCCCCACTGAGCCCGGAGCCCGACATGGGGCTTGATCCCGGGACCCCAAGATCATGAACTGAGCTGAAATGAAGAGCCAGATGCTTAACCCACTGAGGCTTTACCAGGCACCCCTTACCTTTTTAATGAAACACTTAAAGTCATTTCTTTGAATAAGTGTCCCATGTAAATAATACAGCACGCTTCCTGTGAAGGATTAATCTCCCTTCTCATCCCAGGCCCACAGCACCTATCCCCAGAAGCAATCACCTAGTGTGTGTGTTCTTTGAGCCATTAAAAGCATTATTAAGTAAACTAGTAGTTTCATAGAAACACTAAATCTGTTCCTTTCACCTAGCAATGTACCTTGTTAGTAACTTCCTCATTCTTTTCAGTGGCTCTATAACATACTGCCATCTGTATGTATCATGATACATTTAAGCCATCCCCTATTGCTGGACATTTAGGTTGTTTTCCACTTATTTTCTCTAAAACCACAATCCTGCAGGGAATGGTCTTAAATATACTTCTTTGTGTACTTGTCCATCAGGAGAATAAGTTCTAGAAGGTAGACTTGCAGGATCAGGGGTATAGGCATATGTTATTTTGATGGCTGGGGATTGTATGGTATGAGAATAATTTATGTGGGAAAATTAGGACTCTAATATTTATGAAAGTGTAATAATATTTTCTGTCCTCTAGCCGGGCATTTCTGCTTGCTACTCTGTTTGCCCTAAATGTGGGGCCAGCAATCACCCATCTGCCCGATTCTGTGGTTCCTGTGGTATTTATGTGAAGTCCTTGGCCAGACTTAGCCTGGACAACAGCCTGGCTCTAGCTGCTGGAGAACTTGGCCCCTTTGCTGAGGTGAGGCCTCCATTGTAGGAAGCACTGGTGCCAGGGGGATGAGCTTAAGACTGAATTTGTTTCCTCCACCTTGTGGATCAACTCGGGGAAAGACAGCCGAAACATGTAGACCTTTCCTTTGGATTTTCAACTAGATGTGTAAATAAATTCGATCAATTTAGGCTTTAAACACTCAAGTGATTTCTTCAGAATTCAAAGATTTATCTATAGTAGATGGAGGTCTAATTGCATTTGCAAGACTAATATAAATAATGGAAATCAATACAATGTCATGAGGGAGAAATGGATTTAAAATACATGAGACAGGCATACTTTTTTTTTTTTAAGATTTTATTTATTTATTTGAGAGACAGAGAGAGAGAAGCACAAGCGGAGTGGGGGGATAGGGAGGGGAAGGGCAGAGGGAGAAGCAGACTCCCCACTGAGCAGGGAGCCAGACACAGGGCTCAATCCCAGGACCCTGGGATCATGACCTGAGTGGAATGCAGACACTTAACTGACTGAGCCACCCAGGCGCCCTGAGACAGACATACTTCATGAATTTCTTATGTAGCCTGCCAGGAACTTTGCTCCTGCTCTTTTATATTTTAGAAAACTTACATCAAGCATATGAAATTGCTTTTGCCATTTATAACAACAGCGCACAGTTTAAGGAAAATCTTGCAGGATTATCTTCAGAAGGACTTAATCTCTAACAAGCTTGGCGTTAGCCTTTTATAAATTTCTCTAAGCTACATAAAGGCTTTTCAGATTTCTTTTTAGCTCTTCACTAGAAGAATTTGAAGATTGATAGTTATTAGAGAGAATGCACATGCACTCAGCAACTTTGCTTTCATTTTTAGGGAGTTCATGGCCTTCTTAACCCAGACTGAGACTTATGGATCCTGGGGCTGCCGGTAGCCCATATAGAACCATATGCAAGTGAGACAAAGGGTTCTTTCCTCAAGGCATTTGACTGCAATCTTTTGGAAATTGATTTTTAATATACTAATTTTGTTAGAAAGACATTTTCTTCCATCTACCAGAAAAATTGTCCTAATGAATATGCAAATATATAATGCTCACAGTGTGAATGGTATCCCTTTAGATGCAGTGATGTTGTGCAGTGCACAACCTACATAACGTTACATGATGGTCCTCTCAAGTCCCCACATCCAGATGAAGGAGTATCTCAGAGAAATCCTGGTGACTAGTGGTTGACTGTGGATAAGTAGTGAAGTTTATGTTCTATTGGATTGTAGAACTGAGAGATTAGATTTCTTTCAAGCCTCGGGCAGCAAGACAGAGAATATCAGTTCATTTGGACGAATTTGATATAGTAAATGGCCAAGCAGATAAAGCTGGTTTTATAGATCAGAATGGGAGTTGCTGGGAGAGACAGAAGCAAGGAAGGTGAGGCAAGGGCTAAAAACCTCTTTTTAGTTCAAAGTACAGTTTCTCGGAGATATGTTTACTTCGGATTAGAATTCATTTCTATAAGTAATATGAAGAATTAATTAAATCATATTCTAGTATTTTGTTTTCTGCCTTGCTCATAGCCCCAATCTGCCTGGCAGTCCCTAAATGTTCCTTTACCCAGACCTAATGCTGGGACTCGGAAGGACGTGGGCACACAGACTGCTGGCCTGTTCTACCCATCTGGCACGCTACTAGCCAAAAAGGAACAGGAAATGGCTTCTCAGAAGCAGAGGCAGGAGAAGATGAGTGACCATAAACCTCTCCTCACAGCTGTCAGCCCAGGAAGAGGTGAGGGGAAAAGACACACTTTCTTGTCAGTAGGGAACTCCCTCTTTCTTGGAAAGAAAATTGCATTTTTTCTTCCTTTAGATTTATTTCTATACATAAGAAATAAATTCCATTGTTTTTCTTTAGGTAATTTTCCTTCATATTATAGCTCTTAAACTTGTAGAGTTCTGATGTTTTAATTTTTTTTAATTCTTAAAAAAAGATTCTATTTATTTGAGAGAGAGAGAAGGGGAGGGGCAGAGAGAGAGGGAGAGAGAATCCGCAAGCAGACTCCCCACTGAGCACAGAGCCTGACATGGGGCTCAGTCCCAGGACCCTGAGATCATGACCTGAGTCGAAATCAAGAGCCATGTGAGCCATCCAGACGCCCCAGTACTCTGATGTTTTGATTCATAGCTCCATTGTTTAGTCTGTAAATCAAATAGCATGTATGGATTGCTGTCATTACAGTAGAAATGTTGTTAGTCTATGTCATTATTGTTATCTACCATTATCTTTCTCCTTTTACCATTCTAAAATTCACAAAACAAAATTCACCATTTTAACCATTTTAAAGTGTATAGTTAGTGATATTCAGTCCATTAGGAGCAGTATAGAAGCATCACCATTCTGTATGTCCAGAATATTTTCATCACCCCAAAAGTAGACCCAGTATTCATTTTGCAATCATGCCCCACATCTCCTCTCCCAGGTGCCTGGCAACCACGAATCTTCTTTCTGTTTTGATGGATTTGCCTGTTCTGGACATTTCCTATAAATGCATCTCCTGCCTGCACATGAGAAACCAGAAATCCAGACTCATGCAAAATCTCCCAAGTGTTAAGTGGTGGCAGTGATTGAATTCAAATGTGTTTTAAACCCTGTGCAGATGACAAATGGGCACAAGGGAGCTTTCTGGAGTGATGGAAGTGTCCTTCATATTGATCGGGATATATACGCTTGCTGAAAATCAAACTGTACACTTAAAAGTTATATCTCAATATGGTTAATTTTATTTATTTATTTTTAAAAATTTTGAAAGAGAGATAGTGATAGCATGGGGGGAACAGAGGGAGAGGGAGAAGCAGACTTCCCTCTGAGCAGGGAGCCCGATGTGGAGCTCAATCCCAGGACCCTGAGATGATGACCTGAGAGCCAAAGGCAGATGCTTAACCAACTGAGCCACCCAGGTGCCCCTCAATATGATTAATTTTAAAAGAATAAAAGAAAAAGACCCCATATGGGGCCATCAAAATATACATTTTTTTGAGATTCTGTACTATTCTGTGATCAGTCATGTGTAAAAAATAAACCTGGGAGCAAGAATGGAACTTATTCTGATACCTAGTTGAGTTTCAGTAAGTAAAAACCATCACAAAGTTTGGCAAAGAGAAATAACCTGAGAACGCATGTTGCACAGGAACATTTTTCTTTCTTGGCTTCAGAAGAGCTACCCATGAGGATGGGTTTCTTTTTTTCTTTAGGATACTGGAGAAAACAGTTGGATCATATCTCTGCCCACCTCAGGTCTTATGCTCAGAACAACCCTGAATTCCGGGCCTTGATCGCAGAACCCAGAATGGGAAAGGTGGGTGAGCTCTGCTCGGAATTTCCACTCCAGAGAGTCGCATGGGGTCAGGCTGCAGGTCCCCTCCACTGACTTCACCCGAGACTGCACTTTGCTTGGCTCTTTTCCCTTTCCTGTCCTGTTTTCCACACTTCCTTTTTTTTTTTTTTTTAAGATTTTATTTATTTATTTGAGAGAGAGAGAATGAGAGACAGAGAGCACGAGAGGGAAGAGGGTCAGAGGGAGAAGCAGACTCCCTGCCGAGCAGGGAGCCCGATGCGGGACTCGATCCCGGGACTCCAGGATCATGACCTGAGCCGAAGGCAGTCGCTTAACCAACTGAGCCACCCAGGCGCCCTCCACACTTCCTTATGTCCTGAGCGTTTCCGTAGTGTAGCGGTTATCACGTCCGCCTCACACACTTCCTTATGTCCTCCCCTGCAGGCGCTGCCTTAACAAGTCACTTGCACACGAGCCTTGTCTCCGAGTCTGCTTCTGGGCACCTGACCTATAAGATAGTAAATTGTGAACATTCCATGCTTTTAGATCCCACATGCTATGGTGACTCTGGTGCTCAGAGCTAAAAAACCCAGAAGAGTTTAGTCTTGCCAAATTGTGCACTTAAATCCAGTCTATATTAGCAGCAATAGTAATCATAAGAGTTGCCATTTCCTGATGCACTCACTGTGTGCATTGTGTTCATCAGTCTCTAGCGCTCATAACAAACCTATAAGGTAGGAATATTACTTTTGCAGCAGTTTTTTTTTTTTTTTAATGGCCACAAATTCATTGGTAGTCTTCCCTTCAAAGAGTGGAGTCAGTGTCTTCTCACCTCGAATGTGGGCGGGCTTGTGGCAGTGGGGCTCACAGAGTGTGGTGGCAGTGATGCTATGGGACTCCTAAGGTGTGGTCCTGCGAGGCCACACTGCTTCCTGTCTTACTGCGCATGCTCCCCTCCAACAATCCTTCTTGGAGCCCAGCCACCCTGCCGTGAGAAGCCCAAGCCCCATGGAGTGGCCACATGTAGGTGCACCCCTCTGCAGCCGTAGCTGCAACTAGTACTTGAGTCATCCTGGCTCAGGAGCCAGGCAGATGAGTGATGAGAGAAAATGTCGTTCCAGCCTCCAAACATGCAGCCGCCTCTAGCCATTTGAGTTTTCCCAGCTGAGGTGTCAGACGCATGGAGCAAAGACAGTCTATCCCGGCTGTACCCTGTTGGAAGCCACAAACTTCATAAAATGGTTGTTGTTTAGTGCCACTAAGTTAGGGTGTTTTTTTTTTACACTGCAGTAGATAATCCGAACAAACCTTATTTGACACCCAGGAAAACTTGCTCAGAGAAGTTTGGTGACCTGCCCAGGATTGCACTGATGGGTCTCGGGGTATTCAGGATTTGAAGCAGGTCTGTCAGACCCTGAGCCCCAAGCTTTTTCTCTAGAATTACACCATCATTATAAAGAGCTCTATGGGAAGATCTCTTCTTCCATTTGTATGACACTAGAAGGAACCTTTGAAAATCAGCCTGTTTGATCCTCTGCCACCAAATAGGCCAACATTGAAGCTATTTCATTGTCAAGTACTGTTCAGTTTCCTTTGATAATCTATTTTGGTGGTTTATTCATTCTTTGGCCTAACCCAGAGGTCTATAAACTATGGCGTGTGGGGTAAATCAGGCCTGCCACCCAGTTTTGTAAATCAAGTTTTATTGGATCATGGCTACACTCATTCATTTACTTATGGTCCATAACTGCTTTTATGCTACAATGGCAACCACCATATAGCCTACAAAACCTAAAATATTTACTCTCTGATCCTTAAAGCATTTGCTGACCCCTGTTTGATCGAAATTCCTCTGGCTACTTACAGAGAAAGCTGCTCAACTATGAAACTTGGCCCTTGATTGCCAAGGCCTGGTCCCTCAGGACACCCAGGTGATGACATCCAGCCAGGTGGCTTGATTAAATTTAAAGTGTGTCTCTTTAGAGAGGATAAATTTGTGTCTTGCTTTCTTATCCAGCCTGGCAGTCTCTGCTCTTTGATGGGAACGTTAATTTCGTTCATTTACAATTTATAGAATTGTAGATATGGCTGGATTTGTGTCTATTTTGCTACTTATACTCTATTTCACCTAGCTTTTGTTCCTTTGTTTTTCTTTTCTTGTCTTCTTTTGAGTTCATTAAATATTTGATTAAATTTACTGTTTAACATCTCAGGATTTCTTGGCTCAGCACATTAAACCCATGTGCGTGGTTGTGAATTCTCTCTAATGCTTTTTTAAAAGCTTCTCTCCGCTACTGTCCATGAAGATGGCTATGAAGTTAGCATCCAGCTGAATTATATTCAAGTATCCAACAAAGTGAGTAAAACCTTTAGAAGCTATTCATTTGAAAATCAACCAAACTAGTAAATTATAGCTTACACTCTATCAAAGTGCTTCTGTGAAATCCATAGAAGGCATAAATTCCAAATGTTATAAGACTTGGCTAAAAGGCCAATAATTTCATAGAAATAGATAAGTAACTGTACTGAACCTCAGAGAAGACAGGTCTCAGGCACATAAAGATGTAGTAAGAACAGGAATTATTACCCACCCTATCAGTCCTTTGGTTCTCAGGCATACTTATACTCACCAAAGTCTGAGTATAGGTGAAAGACTGACAAAAATGTTTGCCTGTATGTACTTTCACCTATCTACCTCTAAGAAATAAACCAAACTTTGTGGCTCTGCCTCCCTTGATCTGCCCTCTCATATGGTGACTGGAACTTTGCTACAGTGCCTGTAGCGTGTGACAAACATTGATTGATTCATACCGGCAGCTGTAGTTTCACTGGACAAGAAGTCAGAATATACAAAAGAATAAGGAATGGATTAAGAAGATGGGTAAAGAAGGCAAGGAAAAGCACGGGGACTAGCGTATATCAGGCCCTGACCATGGACCCATCAGGGGGCTAGCGGTGTCTTGAAAATTAGGATAGACACATGGGCTCTGCCTAACTCAGAGGCTGGGAAAATGCAGTCCACTGACACACACAAAAGTGTTTTGAAGTCAAGTCAAGCACTGAATGCCATGTTTTCAGTTGTGTGGCTACAGCAGAACTTGGGTCAGGGAGGTACATGAGAAGGGGAGTGAAAGACATGAGTCAAGGCAGGGGAAGGGGCTGAGTGGTCATACCTAAAGTCTAGTCTCAGCCTGATCCATGAGGAGCTCTGAAGTGTGGCTCACACCATGAAGTTGTCCCAGGTGAGGCAAGGGAAGGAAGGATGTAACCTCTAGAGCAAGGCAGCACCCATCTGTAGAGGCAGTTGGCTAGCTGTGAGGTGTTAGCAGCCCACCCGGCAGCTGGGAGGGATATGCTAATCAGTTAGTGGAACTGGGTGGGCACCAAGAGCATCTACAACACGCTGTCTATCAGGTAGAAGTGGAGTAGTTATCCCCAGATTTAATATGTTTTTTCTTAGCCTGTATGTTCTAGTGTTCAGGCAGTAGCAGGTGGTTCCCTGTGGTGGGAGAGGCAGCCACGCGAGGGTGGGACAGGATGCTACGCTGTGGAATTGACCCAGGTAAAATCAGAATTCCAGGTCTGGACTGTGCATCATCTATCCTAATTTTATAGACCTCCATTTTCCCTGTTTTACTTTCCCAACATCCCTTTGAGGTAGGCCATGATATTTCTGCTTTACAGGTGAAGAAACTGAGGTACAGAGAAATTTAGCCACCTTCTTCCAAGGTCCCTGAGCTAATAAGTGAGAGAGCCAGGATTCAAACTCTGTAGCCTGAGCTTCCCTATCTTGCCACCCTTATTCCAAGACATGGAAGGGTTTGAAGCAGGGGAAGAACACCATTACATATAAATTGTAGAAAGGTTACTGGAGCAACCCACGTGGAGGGTGGGCTGGCAGGAGCCAGTTGGGAATCCCTTGCAGGGATCCTGGTGTATGAAGAGGGGGTTGTGGCTATAATGACAGAAAGGAGGGGCCGGGCTGAGGAGCCACTTAAGAGGCAGAATGGACAAAATGTCCCAGTGAGGGGATGTCCAGCTTCCAGCTTGACTATATGTGTAGACAGAGGGGTCGTTAATGAAGAGAAGAACAGGTTAGCAGGGAGAGCACTCCTTCTGTGGGGATACAGCAGCCTCATCAGTCACAGTGCCTATGTTTTTTCTGTTGCCCAGAACCTTTACCTGAGCAAGGCTGTGGATTTCAGCAGCCACTTTCTGAGCAGTGTCACCAAGGGTGGTGATGGGCCACTTGGCAGCAGGTCCAGCTTGGGTGAGTTGTACCCTTCCAGTGATTTTGAGACAGTCGACCAGGAACACACTGACCTGGCAAGGACAGCAGGGAATTGCTTAAAATTTGCCAGCCCAACCACACATCTTCCTTTAATGTTCCAGCCATTTTATTCTTCTGGCTTCTCTAAAGTTAGGAGTGAGATTTTTGAAATCTTTCACAGGGCTTGGGGAGATAGGTTGTGGGGGGTGTTTTCTTTTGGGCTTAAAAAACCATAGTCCCCTTTTCTTCCCCTCCTTCCCAGTCATCCTCTGGTCCTGGGCTGAGATGAGTGGCTTCAGGAGTCCTTCTTGAGAGGGTCAATAAAATAGACATTTCTATACAAGCCATTTTATTCTTCTGACCTCTTGAGGGGCATGATAGTAGGATAGCTCTTTATATGTGGCAGGGGGGCATTGTTTTAGTCCTTGATTCTGTCATTTCAGTGAGTGACTACAGCCAAAGCACCTCAGACACCACTGAAAAAGTCAAGAGGACAAAGAATTTCAAGACCAAAAAGTTTCAAGAAAAGGAGCAACTCACAGTATGTGTACTCCTTTGTCCTTATAGCTGTCTTCTTAGGCCTGGCTGTTGAATGTTTTACTTTGAGATATATTTTTTAATTTTACTTCATTTTATTTTATCTTGTTTATTTTATTCCATTCCATTCCATTCTATTTATTTTTTAAAGTAGGCTCCATACCCAACATGGGGCTTGAACTCACGACCCTGAGATCGAGACGCATGCTCTACTGATTGAGTCAGCCAGGTGGCCCTCCTTTGAGATTTTTTAAATGGAAGAATACTTTTTCATTTTCTGTTCCTTTTTTAGAAGTGTATTTTTATTTTATGGAATCCTTTAAAATATGTTGAGATTATTAATTAGAATTATTTTAAAGTTCTTATTAGTTCCCGGAATCTCCTCTGTTTCCTCTGGGGTCAGTTCTGTCTGTCCATCTTTGTCTGTCTTGTTTTTGGTTGGTCTCAAATATGTGATGATCCTTGGTTGCCAGATCACGTTGACAAGTGAAGGGCTGGTTTGAGTAGTGTCAGTGCCTGCCATGGGTGTGTGGGCCTCGGGTCCCCATGGGGATGGATGGGCATCCTGTGGGGCAGGCCTACCTGGAGGGTATTTGGGTGGAGGGCAGGAGAAAGCCTTGGGGTCCCCTAAGCTGCCTTTCCTCTGGAGGTGAGGATGGTGCTGTGAAGGGCTCTAGCATATTTCATTCCTAGATGGAGCTGTCCTTCCTTCCTTATTCTCCATCCCTGTGTCTGTCACAGAGGTCTGGGCTCTGCCCGTCTTGGGCCCAGTACTCCCAGTAGAAGAGTTTGTTAGGCAGATCATGAACTCTCTGGAAAAAAAGTTACCAGGCTTTAAGCAGAGAGCCCAGGAGAGAGAGGAGGACACCACTCATCTCAGCCACTCACCAGCAAAGCCCTTTCATAGAACGCTTATGAATCCAGCCTGCGCCCAACACTGGCCCTCCTTGTTGATTAACTCAGCTTCTGCAGGGCCCCTTGGAGGGAACAGACTACTATCTCTGGCATCTTCAGCTGGTTTTTCTTTGCTTTGTTTTCCCTCTCAGCCAAATTCCAGCTACTTCCAGTCTTTGGAATTCCTCACAATTCCCCATCCACTGATGGCACCCTTCCAGAGTTTCCCACAGCTGTTAGAGTTTTGTTTTTCAAAAGTACAGACCATGAACACTGAACACTTTTAACTGGAGCTTTGGAGAAAGAGACAGTGGGTGCCCTTGTTCAGCCCCTCACCTTGCCTTTCAGTCGGTCCTCTTTGGCTGCAGTAGGGAAGACAGATGTGCTTAGCAACAAGCCCAAAGCCTGGGTTTCCCCCAAGATGAAGATGGGCACGTGTGGGTTCTTTCCTCCACCTTCCATGGAGCCAGGTCCTCAGGGTGCCCTCAGGGGTGTGTATACTGGTGTCCAGCTTGTATCATTATTTCTCCAAAGGCAGGTGACTTCTCGCCTCATCTTGTGTTTTCCCACCACGTGCTTTGCATCTCATAAACACCAATAAATTTGGAAAGAAGACCTTAGAATTATATTAACATGTATTGTGTATAATTCCTTGCACTCTTGGTCTTCTCTCAGTTTAAAATATTGTCATTGAGTAGAAGAGAAGTATAGAGTTACATAAACTTTAACAGTTTTGGAGACTATACCTGCTTACACTGTATGTGACCCAAATCTCCCCATTGCTATGTGCCTTTATTTTCTCATTTGTGTTTAGGGGATAAGTATCAGACAAATAATAACAGCATCCAGTGGTTCACTCATTCAGTGGTTATTTGAAGCACACATATACCAGGCATAGTTCTCGGTGGTGAAAATAAATCATGAACAAAAGCTATAAAGGTCTCAGACCTCATGCGGTGACATTCTAGTGCATTCTAGTATAAGTTTCCATAAGGAATGGAATTCAGTAAGAACAAATGTGCCCCCCCAGACTTTCTAGGGGTTCACTTTAATAATAGAGTACCTTGTTCCAAGCTAATCACCTTAGAGTAGGGGGCGGAAGGGACACAGCCTGAAACCAGGATTTTCTTCCAGAAGGCTCGCAGGCCTTGACCAATGTCCTCATCCTGATGGCTCCCCAGAAAGACAGGAGGGGGTAGATATATTATTTCTTCTTTACAGACAGGAAAACGGGAGTCCTGGGACAAACCACCCCAGGTCACCCTCAGAACCAGTGATGGAAACATACTGAAAGCAATGTCTCTGGCTTTCTAGACTGTCTCTTCAGCCTTGTGGCAACCAGCCTTTGTAATCCTTTATATATAAAGAAAGATTGCATAGCAAGGGGAATTTCATCACATTTTGAAAACAGAGCATATAATAAATTCTTCAGATTTCTGATGATAGGTGAGAGCTTTTTCTTCCCCCAAACAAGATTCGACTTTATCAGTTCACTCATGCCTCAGGTGAGCATGTTTTCTGAACAGTCATACTTAGGCTGATTCTGAACCCTTTATAAAACTGTGCAGAGGAAATATTAGGATTCACCCGGTTGCTTTTCTTAGGAATATTTATTTCCTTTGTAATAAAACTAGTGTGGGGTTTCTGGGGGTGGTGAGGTTTCTCATTGCATCCCTGTCCTTAATAAAGATAAAACAATGTCAATGTGGTATTCTTCCCCGAGACAAGGTTTCAGAGACCAGGAAGATTTACATTAGCTAGGTTTTTTTATGCTGCTGGTGTCGAAGACCACACACATGCTCACACGCACACACACGCTCACACTCACCTGTCCCTGGAGCTCAGAACTTAACCTTAGAGAGGAAGTGTTTGCCTTGGGAATTGGGTCTGGGCAAGGGAGACAGTGCGTTTTCACGGCGGTGGAAATGACCTTGTGTAACCCTGCAGCCTGAAAACAGGCTTCTGCTGAAGGAAGTTGGACCAACAGGGGAAGGGAGAGTCTCTGTGATTGAACAGCTGCTTGAGGAGGTAAGTACAACTCAGAGAACAAGTCTCTCTGAGGATTTCAGCCTCACATTTCACCTCTGTCTCTTTCAGATGCAAGTCTTGTTCAGTATTGTGATAACCACAGTGCCATTTCTTTCTTTTTTTTTTTTTTAAGATTTTATTTATTTATTTGACAGAGAGAGACACAGCGAGAGCAGGAACACAAGCAGGGGAGTGGGAGAGGGAGAAGCAGGCTTCCGGCCGAGCAGGGAGCCCGATGTGGGACTCAATCCCAGGACCCTGGGATCATGACCTGAGTCGAAGGCAGACGCTTAACGACTGAGCCACCCAGGCGCCCAACCACAGTGCCATTTCATTTAAAACTGCCTGGAAGTGGACTAAATGGCTAGTCAAGAACTTTCCAGTAATTGTTCCTGGTTACTAGTTTTTACAGCAAAGAGAAAAGTCATATGAGCCCAAATAATGTGCATAAATGTGGACAGAATCCCTGGCCTGTGACCCCATGTGACCTTCATGTTTCCTAAAGAAGCGAGGCTCGGGGGGATGCCTGCCCCTCCTGATGGGGGGAGCAGAAGTTTTATCACCCGAGTTAGGGTGGTTAGATCTTGGGTGTCCTGATTCTGTTCTCTCTTGAGGTAAAGCAGTTTAGTTCCGGCAAGCATATGCATTACACTTCGCAGGATGGCAGCTGGGTGCTGCCGAGAGCAGGGTTTGAGGCAAGTCTGTCCTTTCCCTTATGCTGCAGGGAGCGGACCCCAACTGCAGGGACAGTGAAGAGCGACCCGCGATTACCGTGGCTGTTGTGAACACGCGCCACGAAGTGATTCCGGTTCTCGTGCAGAGAGGAGCAGACACGGAGCAGCGCTGGGGCCCGTAAGTAAGACACCGTCAAAGGAGAGTTCCGGCGCAGCCAGCCGCTGCCTCCGGGCCCTGCTCTAGCAGCGTCCAGCCACACGCATGACCCGATCCGTTGGCACCGCTTGGGAACCATCTTAACCCATTTGGGCCTTAATAAGAGACTTCACTGCCACTATTTTTCAAACCTGGGCAAAACAAAAACTTTTTAAGTGGATTATTGGATTGCCGAATTTTTTGTAGCTTTTATAAATGATAAATTTTGTTAGCTCTCGGGTTTACACTGAGGGGGGGCCGGCAAATCCTTCCCCCTTGGGATGTTAAGCAACATTATTTTCCTCCTGATCTTAACTGTTGAGACCGCTAAGAGAACAGTGGGCCCAGTGTAGTCCCTATGGAAATGTGGCCATGAAGTCACTCTACAAAGAAAACCTTCTCCGGGTGTCTCTGGATGTTGATACACTGGGGATGACACTGCACATCCGAGTTCACTACATGATCTGGTTGGTGCCTTGGTTTCCCCAGCTGGGAAGCAGGATGGACAGATACCAAGTCCTGTTGGGTACTTCTGCCACTTCCCTGGTCTCGGGCCTCTCCTGCCTCTTGACCTCTCGCAGCCTTGGGATTCTGTTGTTCTCTGAAATTACTTTGGAAATGTGGGGTGGACAGTTCCTTGAGGACGGGTTCCACATGTTAACTGCTAATAGCCTGCCAACTAAGTTGCCAAACTGGGAGTTCTCTAGGGGTCCTGCAGCCATCTGACCCTGCTGCCCCTTGACCTACTTCTGAGACCAGATCAAGGCCCACCAGAGAATCGTGCTGCTGAGTGTGTCAAGCCAGCACGTGGAACAAAGTTAGATAGCTTTGCTTCTGTTTTCCTCCATCTCAACTTTAACTCCAGTGTTTTTATTCACAATATATGCCAGTTAATTTTTCTGTGTGCACTGTTACGTTTCTGTCCAACAGGACAGCTATATCAGGTAGACACAACCTCTTTTTAGTTTTGTTTTAGAGTAGAACGTTTGGCCCATTTGGTGGACGTATTTGGTGGCTGGAATTTACTTGCTCACCTTTCCCTGGGGTTCACATTCTTCATACTGTCAGCTTCTTCGTTTGACCCACACTTGGGTTATCATTATTCATAAAAATAATGCCACCATGTTCGGCATGAAGGTGTATTTTATATTTGTACAATTCAGACAAACTTTTCTTGGAGCACTTATGTATAATGTCTGTGGTTGGTACAAAATCTCTTGAACAGATTTTGAATTGATGCTTATGAGAAGTCCCGCTGAGAGGAAGAAACTACTCTGGACTACTCTGGACATGGAACAGATTACCCGTTTTTCCTTGGTGTTCCTCAGTTTCCATTCTTACTTCATTACCATTCTATAAATTGACATTTACCCACACGTGATCTCTACTAAGTCTAACTCTGCGGTTGTACCATCTGTCTGAACGGTGTGTAATAGCCCGTTGTCACTCCCACTGCATTAGCATGGTTAGCAGAATCTAGCTCACATGGAGGGGGAGGGAGGAAAGCTAGACCAGAGCCCTCCCTCAAAATAGAGCACAGAGATCTCTTCTTCCCCTTTAGTTTATGCCAGTAGAAGAAAGCGGATTTCTCCACTGAGAGCCAACTCTGCTGTCTGCTTTATATTTGTTAGTTTGAAGTGTTTAGACCTGGGTCAGCCTGACCTCTACCCCCTGGCTGGACCTCTGTAGATCCAGGAACATGACCTCAGGACTCCATCGATCCTACTGCTCCTCAGGCACAAGCCATCCAGAGATCTGGCTTTCCCATAAAAAAGGTTCAGTGAATTGTCCCTTAGCAAACAAGGATTTAAAAACTCTTCCTCCCCCGCATTCCCAGCTTGTTTGACTAGTGGAGAGAAGCAGCGTAGGTGGTCTCTACACCAGGTAACTTCTGTCCAATGGCTTGGCAGGTAACAGAAAGCCCCTCCCTAGTGTTTCTGTTTCCAATGTTTGTCTCTTTCCTACCAGAATACACTCATTTTCAACCCAAAGGGATGGCTAAGGAGAGGTACACATCCTCCACCAAAGCTGATTCCTCTTATCGGCAGATTTCAAGAACACAGATTCAAGGTCTCACTAAGAGATGGGCAAAGAGAAGTGCCATTTGCTTTTGGACAACATCTACCCTCCTTCACTGGCAATTTCAAACATTCTGTCTCTTAATTCTGCCCCAGTAGCCGGGAGGGGTGGATGTAACCACTAGTCTGCTTCTTAGAGGTTCAACTGTGGAGAGTTACTCTATTAGGTAATTCATGATTTACAAAGAGAGAATGTACCTTCATCTACCATGATACATAGATTTGAATAAACCATTTGAGTAGTTTGTGCATTCATAGTAGAGTTTCCTTAAAACACAAATTCACAGAACACCATGGTGTACCTGCTGTACAAAACACATTCTAGAAGGTCTGGTGATATAACACCAAGCTACTCAGAGGAACAGACTCACAGGTATCACCTCTGCTCTGAACAGAAGAGGGTGTCCCCTCTAGCGTCCTTGCCTGTTGGAGTCAGAGCAGTGGACAGAGTTAGAGTCAGCAGTCACAATTCACTGCTTCCCCACAATGAACTGTGGTTACACAGAAAATCCAGCCATGGTGCCCCCTCCCCACCTCATAAATGGAAGGTGCGTTCTGCTCTCAGTGTAGAGGGAGTTATGAAAGAAGATCATGCATCTACTCAGGAGATGTGGCAACCCTGGGAATACATATAAGTTCCAGTGGTAAATGCCTAATAAAGACCCAAAGAATGTGAGGGGTGAAGTAACAGTTGTGCTACCAGGGAGAAAGGAAAGACGAAAGATGAAGGAGGGTTGGTGTCATTGGTGTGATTTTGTCTGCATGCCCACAGCATCCTGCATTACAACTGCTTTAGCAGGATGATTTTCTCCCCCACCCCAAACAGGCTCCAAAATACAGCTCTTCATGAAGCAACTCTGCTTGGCCTGGCAGGAAGGGAGTGTGTCGCTGCTTTACTGCGGTACGTTTCCAGCCTCTAAGGGAGATTTCTGAGGGTCCCCTGCTGACCTGTGATGATTTCAGAAGGCCCTAGTTCCTGAACAGTTAACCCTGTGAATGGGGGCCACCATCCCACTGTGGGTCCCAGCGCTGAGGGCTCTTAAAAGCACAATGGAAATGTTGTCCCCCCACCAAACATACTTGGTTGTAGGACTTCGATGCAATGGGAGCCAATGGGCAGGATTGGCAATTGAACATGTTGAAATCACAGAGCCCCTCAAAAGGTCTCAGGGTAGAGCCTCCTTTGAGAGTGGGGGTCGTAGTGGCCTCTTGGGGACAGGTTTAGGAAGGTGGGGCCAGGAGGCTCCCAGACCGGCCTCTGTGTCAGGGAAGAGCCAGGCCCTCAGGTTCAGGTGCCTGAGTCCTTCTATTCATGCCCATTCCCTTGGCAGATGCAATGCAAGCATCCAAAAGAAGAACATGAATGGCCAGACACCGTATGACCTGGCTCTGCAAACTGGGGATGATGTCGTCACCTCACTCTTTGCTGCTAAGCTCGGCCTAGATGACTCTTAGACCCAAGGGCCTGCACAGGACCTAGCTGCAAGAAACCATCCAGTTCTGGCTCTTCTTTGTTTCTTTCTGAGATGTGTATTTGTGGTTTGAGAATTGAGGTTGAGAGGAACTCATAAGACTTTTTTTTTTTTTTAATATGACACTGTAAGCCACCATGTGGGTATTTCCCAATATGCTGTGGATGGTGATGAACTTAACATGTACTTTTTAAAGGGTTTCTTGCTGCTTATTTTAGAATTTTCTTTTAAATTTATTTTTCAGGGGACGCCTGGGTGGTGCCTTCGGTTAAGTGGCCAACTCTTGGTTTTGGCCCAGGTTGTGATCTCAGGGTCCTGAGAGCGAGCCCCACGTTGGGCTCCATGCTCAGCACAGAGTCTGCTCGTAAGATTCTCTCTCCCTCTCCTCTACCCCTCTCCCTGAACGTGTGCAAGCATGTGCTCTCTCTCAAATAAATGAATAAATCTTTAAAAAAATTTAAAAAATAAATTTGTTTTTCAGTAGATAATAATTGCACATGGTTCAAAGCTAAAAATTTAGTATGAAATGTTATGTAGTAAAAACTCTGCCATCTCTGTCCCACAGCCACCCACATCCCCTCCTCAGAGGCACCAATGATACCAGTGTCATCTGTGTCTTTCCAGAAATAGTATAGGATTATATAAGCACATGTATATAATATATGCATCTGTACATAGAGGGTATACACAAAATACAAATATAGATAACAGATATATTCTTTGCCCTCTTTAAGACAAGTACTAGCGAACCACACACTCTCCCGATGTGTTGCATCTTGTTCTTTTCCTTAATATATCTCGTAGGTGGTTCCAAGTGAGTACATAAAGATCAAGTTTATTTTAAAAATGTTGTTTCTGATGTTGAGCTCATCAATATTCCTATTGTTCTTTGGTTGACAAACAAGCCTTGAATCAGCCATCTGCAGGAATGTGTCATTTTGACGTATGTCTTTTTTCAGATTGTTATTTCAGTCCTTGGGTGATAGCGCTGCAGTCGTGCAGTCCCTAAATAGTTTCTGTTAAAGTGTGTTGATAGAGTATTTATTAATTCTGAATGATTAATTCCGCACAATAAATAACCGACTTCGCTGAGTGGTTGTTGTCATCACTACCTGCACTGCTTTCCTGAGGGAGCGACTGTCTGTGGTTGGGGCGGCGGGGACAGGTGCAGAGTTGCTGGAAGCGATGCCCGGACACAGGGTTGGGGGGCACTGGCCGGCCCCTGTCACACTCAGCCGTCTGTGTTGGGGGGCTGCTGCAAGGTAACCAGGGTCCCGTGGGTCGGGGGCGGTGTGCACTGTGTCAGCTCAGCCGGTGCAATACTACCCCTCCCAGACTTCTCTGCCTTTATGGTGCGGTGCAGGGTGGGCCACAGGAGTGACAGCACGAGGTTCCAGATTCCAAAGGCAGAAGCGAAGTGCGGCCCTCACGCTAGGAAGGTGGGTGAGGGCCCCAGAGGGTGCTGCGGCTCACCCTACAGGCTCTGGATTTGACACTCAGGGAGGAGGGTGTGGAGTTCAAGACCATTTTGCCCAGAGCTCAGGGAACAGGGGAGGCCCCATGGGCCCGTGGGTTCCAGAATCTCTTCTCTTGGAGCTCTCAGGGGTAACTTTCATGCCCTGAGTGCAGGAAGGACATCTCCACTGTTCCTTGGGTTTCCACACTTCCTGGGGGCAGGGCCTGCCCTTGTACCTGAGAGGCAAAGCGCACACCCGACATTTCCTACCAGGGATCTTGCCTTCCGCTAAAGGCCACTGCCAGCACAAATCACCTTTGGGTTTCCATCAAGCCTCATGTACAGAGTGAACAGGTGGCTCAAGATGCAAGAACATAGGTTCAGATCCAGGAACTCTCTGATGAAATCCTGGAGGGTTATGTAAAGCATTATATAAACATTGAACTCTATGTTTTCAGGAAAAGTAAAGTTAAACACATGTTTCAGGCAAGGCCTTTCTGATTTCAAAGTTCATGTTATTTCTTGTCCTTCGTGACGTTTTATTTTTCTTTTCCTTGGGTCCCTGTATCAGGGCTTGAAATGGGAGCAGAACCACCATAGTGATGCTGAGTAAGGGGTAATGAAAGGGACCGGACTGCACGCAGTCGTGGGAGTGAGTGAGTGAGGCTGGTCACAGGCCAGGCACCCCTGTAGCTCAGCAGGGCCGCAGTGGGGAAAGAAAGGTGAGTGCCGAAAAGGGATGAGCGAGGACAAACCGGAACCTCTGGGCCCAGTCTCCCTCCTCCCTCCTCATGGCCACAGGTGACCTGCAGGAGACCCTGGTGCCCTTTGGCATGGAGCCTGTTCCAGGCATCCCAGGCTGGACTCTCCAGAAGCAGACTGAGACAGCTGGGGATGGGGGAGAGAAGAGGATGCGTGTTTATGGGGGATCAGCCCTTGTGGAAGGAAGAAGGGGGTGGTACGGCAGGAGACATCAACACAGACACAGCCCCCACAAAGCTGCAGCCGCGCTGGGGCAGGGTGCTGAGGAGGAGGATTGCCCATCATCCTGCGGTGCCCGGACAGCTGTAGCTCCGGCACAGGGCCACCACTGCCCCAGGACAGCTGTGACTTCGGGCCAGGCAGCTCTCTGCTAATGACTGGAGGCAGTCTGCTGCCCTTCCTGCTGCCCGCATTCCCTACCCCCAGGTAGTCAGCGCTGCCCTAAGGGGCATGCGGAGGATGCCCCTCTGTGTGTACCACAGAGTGCATGGCATGGGTCCCTGACCCAGGCTGCCGGAAGGGGGAGGTCTGGTGGGAGCTGCCCCCACCCATCAGCCAGCCAGTCCCAGGATGCCAGGGAGGGCGGCAGTGACACTGACCTCAGAGCCCCACCCTGCAGGCTCAGCTCAGGTCCAGTGGTTGATGCTCAGGGTGCCGGGTGCTACATGGAGTGACAATTAGCTGAGCATCCGGTGGCTGGTGACTCAGGCCACAGCGACCTCCCTGCAACTGGATTCGCCACAGACTCCTCCTGAGGCTCGGCGGCAACTCTTGGAGGAGCCACCCTCACTTTGTAGCTTCATCCCACATCCCCACAGGGGTCCAGTGGCCTTAGAGTTTGCCAAATTCCCCCCAGTGACCATCCAGGTGAATGAATTCCCACGTGTTTATTGGCCAGTTGAGTATCTTATATTTTTCGTGCAGATTTGGGAGAAGGCTTTCAGTATAACTCAGGGTCTCATGAGTTGTAGGCATAAATCTTGGGGCTCTGTATTAGTCAGGGCTCAGATGGAGAAGCAGGACTCACAGGAGATGTGTATCAAGAGACTCACTGCAAGGGACGGATGTAGGTGGTTGTGTAGGCCAGCTGGGCAAGTCCCCAGTGGCAGGGCAGGTGTCAGGAAAGGTGGGCTGGCACCGCTCAGGCACGGCCAGCCGAAGCTGCTGCCCACCAGCAGAACTCCTTCTTCACGGAGATCTCTTTCCTTCAGGGCTTGGAGCCCATTGAATCAGGCTGACCCGGACCTGCTAGGATGATCTCCCTTTCTTCAAGTCAGCTAAGAACTTTAATCACAGTACAAAATACCGTCCTGGCAACACCTAGATTAGTGTGTGCATAACTGAGGACCGACGCCCAGGCAAGATGATGCATAAAAAAAGGACCATCACAGCCTCTGTTACAAAGTCATTGATTATTGATTCTTTTTCCTACCCCCGACTTGAATAAAATCGACAATACACACACATGTACATTTTGTGTCCTTTTTTGCATAAGGCTACACATTTTTTTTCGGCCAGTTGCCTGGGTTTTGGGGTCATACAATTTTCATCATCCTTCTTTTGTGTTTTTATATTCAGATCGGTTGTTAACTTCTCGTTTGGCTGCCACTATTTCAATTTGTGTGAATGTAGAGCCGCTCGAAGTAGCAAGAGCCTCACTTCCTGCAAATTCCCAAGTAGTGAGGGCTGAAGATAACTTTCTGGCAAAGCTGAACCCCTTTCTCCCCACTCTGGCCCACCCGGTCCCCAAACATGTCCTCAGAGAAGGACCAGAGTGACCTAACATTCATGTCTGCTTTGCTATCAGACCCCTAACCCACCACCAGGATAGGGGAGGGGAGGGTTACTTGAAATGAGGTGGGCGCTTGGGTGGCTGGGTGGGCGCCTGGGTGGCTCAGTTGTTAAGCATCTGCCTTCCGCTCACGTCATGATCCCGGGGTCCTGGGATCGAGCCCCACATCGGGCTCCCTGCTCCGCGGGGAACCTGCTTCTCCCTCTCCCACTCCCCCTGTTTGTGTTCCCTCTCTCGCTGTGTCTCTCTCTGTCAAATAAATAAATAAAATCTTTAAAAAAAATTAAAAAAATAAATGAGGTGGCCTGGAAGTAGACAGAGGTCGGCTCAATCAGTAATCACCTTGAGTTTAAAAAAACAAAAAACAAAAAACATTTAGTGGATATGAATCCAATACTTATTATTTATTGTAATTTTTATATAAATGGCAGTTTCCAGGCCCCTGACCTGGGGTCCCCATGTTTCCAGCTGGGTAGTAATAAATGGTTCAATTTTTAGATTAATTACTTCTAATGCAGTTAGAACCCTAGAAATTCTACTTTTTTTTTAAAGATTTTGTTTATTTATTTGAGGGACAGAGAGCGAGCAAGAGAGAAAGAGAGAGAGCATGAGTGGGGAGAGCGGGAGAGGGAGAGGCAGACTCCCCACTGAGCAGGGAGCCCAATGCGGGGCTCAATCCCAGGACACTGGGATCATGACCTGAGCCGAAGGCAGATGCTTAATCGACTGAGCCACCCAGGTGCCCCAGAAATTCTACTTCTGACCCCAACTCTCAACATGAAAAATTTTATTATTCTCTCCTCAAGCCCCCTCCCCCACTTTATCCTGCATCTGCTCAGTAGAAACTTCCTTTCCGCCATCAAACAGAAGGGAAAGAGGCAATCTTTGGGAGGAGTTCCCAAATCCTTTCTGATTTTGCAGAAGAGACTGGCATTCTCAAATATGATTTTCTGTAGAATGTCCACTAGTAGGCTTGACTCACATTCTCATCCCTGGCTGTTGTGGGTGCTTTTCTTATTTTTTCTTGTTCTTCCTGGAATTCCCTTTCCTACTTTCTCCAAGCATGGAAAAAGAAACTGGTGAAATCTGGTTGATTCTTTTCTCTTCTGACCATGTAGTTGTTAAGAACAGATTGCTGTTAGAGGGACATTCATGCCTTTCTTTTGGCTAGTATATTCTGCTTCTCAGTTGTTTTCAAATTTGGGGCAGTATTAG